GTAGTGAGGAGAAAACAAAACGATGCATGCAGAAGTGCTCTGAAAAGCTGAAAGAGCAAATACAAATGTAGGTATTATTTTCATAAGGTCCTGAATGTACTCAACCTTATGTTTCTTTTTTTTTTAAAGATTTTATTTTATTTATTCATAGAGACAGAGAGAGAGAGAGAGAGAGAGAGGCAGAGACACAGGCAGAGGGAGAAGCAGGCTCCACGCAGGGAGCCCGACGTGGGACTGGATCCCGGGTCTCCAGGATCACGCCCTGGGCTGCAGGCGGCCCTAAACCGCTGCGCCACCGGGGCTGCCCCAACCTTATGTTTCTAATTTCAGGTCAGGAAGAAAGATTTCTGTTTTCTTTTGCGCCTAATTTGAACAAAAGATAAAAACATCTCACTTTGACTTTTCTCCTACTTCAAGCATTTGGCTTGAAGAAGCTTTTGTCAGCAAGCTGCCAACTAATAGAGCAGAAGATGGCTTGACTCTAAAGCTAATCTAGGAGAAAATCTCAACTGTTGAGGCAGAAATGGCATAGGCTTTGCCCCAAGCATAAGAGATGACGAGTGAAGGGTCTTCCCACCTTGGGAATTATTTATCTCCATGCACTTTCCTCCACCTGGAACACCCCTTTCCTCTTCACCTTGTCTTTGCTTAAGGAACTACTTCTTAGAGAAGCCTCTCCTGTTGAAACCCCCATCATACCCCATTCCAGATCATATCTGGTGTAAAAAATGTGAACAAGCTAAACTTCTTTATAATTGCTTATCATCGTTGGAATTAGTAATTCATCTGTGTAGCAGATTAGTGTCTGCTCTCCCTTCCTCCATAAGCTCCCTGAGGACAGGGAAGAGTTTGATTTTTATGGAATCCCCAGAACAGAATTATAGTGTCCCCTAGCTCAAAGTGAGTCATTAAATATTTATTAAGTAAGTGATGAAAGAAATACGATCTGAAAGGCACTTCAAAGCAGATTGTTTGAGATGGCAGATTACTTCTATTGAGGCACATTTATGTAAATACATGCTATTTACAATAAAACACTTACTTTACTGTTGCTTAGAGAGAACATATTGCAAATGGAGGGAAACCATAAAATGAGAAGGTTAATGAATCAATTTTAATGAAAAGTTAATAGTAAGGAAATATGCTGCACACCCTGAATAAAGAGTTCTTACAGACTGGATTGTTTACAAGGTCCCAACTGCCCAGGTTTAGATGTTCTGAAGGAGGGATGTGAAAAATGGGCAGAACTATTGCTTCCCAGTCTTGAAGGCACAGCTCACGGTCAGTGGACATCAGAGAAAAATTCCCTTCTGGACCAGGCATCATGTGAAAGAACAAAAAGTCGCATGATGGGGCCATCCAGTCTTTCTCCAGCTACAAGGATGGCTCCCAGAAGCAAAAGTGAAACAGTAGCTGGTTTTGTTGCATTTTATTTTATTTTATTTTTTTAATTTTTTTTTAATTTTGTTTTATTTATTATAGTCTCACAGAGAGAGAGAGAGAGAGAGAGAGAGAGAGAGAGAGAGAGAGGCAGAGACACAGGCAGAGGGAGAAGCAGGCTCCATGCACCAGGAGCCCGATGTGGGATTTGATCCCGGGTCTCCAGGATCGCGCCCTGGGCCAAAGGCAGGCGCCAAACCGCTGCGCCACCCAGGGTTCCCCTGTTGCATTTTATTTACTTTCTTCTGTTCTAAAACTGTTGAAAAGTGTGGCTAATTTGGCATTCATTCATATGTGTGTAAATGAGGAAGATAAAATTCTCAAAAAATATTATTCAAGCTCTATGGCAAGTTAAAGCAATTAATAGTTTTTTTTTTTAAGATTTTATTTATTTGAGAGAGAAGGAGAGAGAGCGTGCATGAGGTGGGGGGAGAGGCTGAGAGAGAGGGAGAAGCAGGTTCCCCACTAAGGAGGGAGCACAACCCCAGGATCCCAGGATCATGACCCCTGCCAAAGGCAGATGCTTAACGCAGACGCCTTGTAATTAGTATTCTTAAGTTCTATCAAGCTCTACTCCCAGGTGCCCTGCAATCAATATTCTTAATTTCTATCAAGCTATACTCCAAGAGACCATGGTTTTTTTTTTTTTTTGTATAAAAGTCAGTCCCCATCCCCCTTCCACCTGTTTTTATCTCTTGCACACACTTTTAGTGCCAATGCTCAATAAAATAAGATTTATTTTTTAATTTTTACATTGTGATCTTCCTTTATCTTTCAATTATTCTATGGAACATATAATCATTTTCTATCTTCCTCGCTAAGTTGAATTTATGACTTTCTGTGAGCTAAGTCTACCCCATTCGTTTGTGTGTTAAGCAAATATAAATAATAAGGATGCTGAGTAATAAAGCTCAGATCTTTTTCTGGAGCTTTTAAAGCTGTAGTGTTTCTTTCCTTCGAAAGGTTGTACACTATAAATTACATTACAAATAAAAATGAATTAAGTGAGACTGAGAGGTCAGAGAAGAAATACAGAGGCGCCAGTTTCTGCGGAGGGTCTTTAATGGATGATACTTTGAGGCTATCAATTTGGAAAGAAAAAAATCAAATAAAAGTCCATTTCATACTCATTTTGCAGACTTCATCCTTTTCGTTGTTTTCATATAAGTAACTCTGCCAACGTTTTATTTCATATAAGATCTATGTTGTTCTTCTACTCTGTCCTAATATTATGCAAACAAATTCTAACTCCTTAAAGGCAGATAGAAATTAAACCATTCAAATGCTGTTCATTTAGTAGTTTCAAAATAACAATAAGCAAGGCACTTTCATCTATGTGTCACCAAAACATGCCACTCCTCCTTTATTTTTGCCACTGTTCCTACTTCCACTAACAGAAATCCTAAAAGATCAGATAATGAAAACCAAAGAGGTCTTTATGCTTTTTGCAACTTCATAGTCAAAGCCCATCTCAAGCTATGAACTGCCCTCATCCTTGAGATTGTTTGAAACTTGTTAGTTTATTTTTTCTTTGGGAAAGTGAGAATAAGTTTTGACCAAAGAGGAAACTGCCACTTGTTGCCTTTTGTGGAGTCTGTTCTTTACTCCATTTAGTGGCAGCTGGGAGTGCAGACCTGGGCATAATCCATGCTAGGGAAAGAATCTCCCCCTCCCACCCCCCATAATGATGAACATCCAGCAGAGTTCCTTGAATATAGAAAATGTTCAATGTAAATCTGCCAAAAGAATAGGTTTAATAAAAAAAAAAAAGAGGCAGTTTTCATTGTTTAAAAATTAATCACTTCCACTCCTTTATTGGACTAAGTTTGAAACCCCTTGATAATCAAGCTTCACAAAATAGGTTTAAAGTGTCCCAAGAGAGAAACAGACCATGGCACAGAAAAACGTGGTGGCTTCAGGAGAGCTTAGAAAGAGGGACCCGTGCTCAACCAATTTTCACATGAAGTAACTTGTGTGAGTGACACTTCCAGGCTTCTCCAGAAGAAGAAAGGCCACCGCCCCTAACATTGGTCCATTAGGCTATTAAGGTGATACGGGTGTGACTTACTTTGCAAGAAATCTGCTTTTATCTGACCTACATTTGAATCCCGATTGTCTCCATATTTCTCCTTTGCTTTTACTTTTTCCTCTCAATGACTATGGCATTTGCTGTTGATTTCTCTACAGGGGTCCTGGTGTTTAAAGGGTGTGGGAATGAATCCATCTTAATCCTAAATAGCTAATTGCCTCTTCCAATCTGCCTTAATAACCGCGCAAGCTCCCGGCTTCTCCACCTTGTCGCTCTAAGAGGCTGCAGAGGCCACAGCACCCGGACGTGCCCTGCGGGTCAGGAACCGCGGGAACTGCCTCCCTCCCGCCTGCGCTGTGGGCCATCCCCAGGGAGTGGTGACTGCAAGGACCTGTCTTCTGTCCCCCGTGCTGAGTGAGGAGAGCACAGGCTCCCTTTAAAAGCAAACTTTGCAGACAAGAATGACCTTGAGAAAGACCCTTTATATATGCAGATCGATGCTCGGGAACTCTGCCAACCACTTACAACCGCCCTCTGACGTTTCGCAGACATGTGTCACGCCAAAGAGCCTCCTTCTACCCCAAATCCCTGCTTTGTGCGGCGGGCGCAGTGGGGGCTCGCGGATGCGCCGCTGGGGAGATAGGCGTCCCCCTGGGGAGACAGGTGTCCCCCGACCGGTCCTGGGGCAAGCGGAGTCAGCGCGGCAGAGAGCTCAGCTCCGCGGCCCGCCGGGGCCGCTCGGGTCGCGCCGTGCCCGGAGCCCCTCGGGGCATTACCCGCTCGGGGGGGGGGGGGGCTCCTGGGGCCGACCCCTCAGCCCCTCGCAGGTGCCCGGAGCCCGCGGGCGGTCCCCACCCCCGGGCCCCGAGGCGGCGGCGGCTGCGCTAGCCGTTAATGGCCATCATCCATTTTTAATCAGAAAGATCGCAGGAAAGACGGAGAGCGAATCCCTCCTAGTCGCAAGTCCATTTAAGTAACATTCCCGGGGAAATCCAATCACTTAAAACTGAGACACCTACGCGAGCCAGAGCCCCCGCGCCCGCGCCCGCGCCCGCTGGCGGGGAGGAGCCGCTGCTCAGCTCCCGGGCTCGGGGGGCTCGGGGCCCGCGCGGAGCCTTAACCCTTTCCGCCCCGGAGGGCGCGGGCGGGCGCGGGGGGAGCGCGGGGGCGGGCGCGGGGGGAGCGCGGCCCGCGGGGCCACGATGCCCTCGGCGGCCGCGCGCGGGCTGCCTCGGCCACACTGGGCGGCTCCGAGGGCGCGGGGTTAAGGTCGGGAGCTCCCGAGGCCGCTCCGGGGCGAGCCGCCGCCGCCGCCGCCGCCGCCGCCGCCCACGGCAGCCCCGGCGCCTCGGGCTCCTCCTCCCGCCCGAGCGGGGCCGCGGGAGGACGGCTCCGGCCGCAGGTGGCGGCGGGCGGCGGGCGGCGCGCGGCGCGCGGGGCCCGGCGGTGCCCCGGGGAGGGGCCGACGGCCGCGCGGACGGACGGAGCCCCCAGCCCGCGGCCCGGGCTCGGGCGCCGGGCGGCGCGGGCCATGTGGGGGCCCGGGGCCAGCGCCGAGGGCCTGCCGGTGGCGGTGGCGCCGCCGCCGCTGCCGCTGCCGCCGCTGCCGCTGCTGCTCCTGCTGCTGGCGCTGGCGGCGCCCTCGCGGGGCGGCGGGGGCTGCGCGGAGCTGGCGTGCGGCGAGCGGGAGCGCTGCTGCGACGCGGCCAACGCCACGGCCGTGCGCTGCTGCAAGCTGCCGCTGCACGCCTTCCTCGACAACGTGGGCTGGTTCGTCCGCAAGCTCTCGGGGCTGCTCATCCTGCTCGTGCTCTTCGCCATCGGCTACTTCCTGCAGCGCATCATCTGCCCCAGCCCGCGCAGGTACCCGCGCGCCCAGGCGCGGCCGGGGCCGCCGGGGGCCGCGGGGCCGCCCGACCGCGGCGGCGACGACGACGACGACGACTCGCCCGCGCTCCTGCGCGACGAGGCGGCCGCGGGCTCCCAGGACTCGCTGCTGGACGGCGGCGGCGGCGGCGGCGGCGGCGGCGGCCGGGCCCGGGGGGGCGGGCGCGCGGCCCCCGCCTGCGCCTCGGAGCACGAGCTGCGCGTGGTCTCGCCGGGCTTCCTGCAGCTGCCCAGCTACGAGGAGGTCAAGTACCTGCCCACCTACGAGGAGTCCATGCGGCTGCAGCAGCTCAGCCCCGGGGAGGTCGTGCTGCCCGTGTCGGTGCTCGCGGACCCCGACGGCGCCCAGGGCCGCTTCCCGCGCATCTGAGCGCCCGCGGCCGCCCGAGGACCGCGCGGACTGAGCGGGGCCCGGGGAGGGGGCAGGACGGCCTCGGACCCCGCGCCCCCCCCCCCGCCCGGAGCCCGGTTGGAGCCCCGGGATCTTGAAGTCTCCCCACGTTTCATTCGGTTCAAGGAAACGTCAGGCGCGCGCGCGGCGGGGGCGACGGCCCAGGCTGGGGCGCCCCTCGGACCGAGCCCCCTCGTAAGTGCCCGTCCCCGAACGGGCGAGCACACGGGCGCCGGGTAGCGCGTGGGGAGAAGGGCTGTGACCTTTAGGGATGCGGGGAAAGGGGCGCCGCGCACGCCCCCCCGCCCGGGCCCCCAGGAGCGGAGGGCGACGCGCCTCGGGGACGGCTGCGCGGCGGGGGGAGCAGCGCCCCGCTCGGCCCAACCCCCTCCCTTGGGGGGAGCCGGAACACCCCCCGCCCCCGCCCCCCCGTATCTTCTCCGCCAAGCAGAGTCACAGCTGGTGGCTCACCCGCATGGGGAGGGACCCCCGTGATCCCCAGGGAGGTGCTGCACCTGTTGGAAGACACAGCACTTAGGCCTACCGAAGACCGCGTTCGTCATAAGAGGTACAGGTGGACTTTTGATTTCTCAATGACCGAGAAGACGTTTATATTTAACTTGTCTTTTATTTTTATATTTTTGCCATGTACTGAACGTATCAGGAGTGTATTTGTGCAATTAATGACAAGATAATCGTCTTTTCCTCTTTTTTTTTTTTAAAGGCCTTAATGGTCTGGAAATTGTCATTATTGTTTAATAAAATATTGGACATGATTTCATTTGCCACGGGGGGGGGAAGGCATGGTCAAACAAGAAAACATGTGGCATAAAACACATGAAGGATATCTTATTTTCACTATTTGAGAAGAATATATTTTATTTTTAGTACTGTGGTATAATATATGACTTTTTGTAATAACTATAGATTGTGTAGCCTAGGTCTTGATTGTATCATTCACCACATAGTTATATGTAGAAATGACTGATACATATATGCCATGCCATGAAGCATGATGTCATGCACTTTCCCCTTTATTTTAAAGTACATTCCACAACATGATACAAAACAGAAGAACTTGTGACTTCTCTTCAAAGCCATAATTGTGCAAGCAATGTACTCTAGAAGGATTTAGTAAACCTCTCGAAAGAAAAAAATAAATGTCATTGTATCCGTTTTACCATTCTATGACATGGCCTTTAAGCAAATGGTAATATAAAATACCTTATTGAAATGCATTATGTATAATGTACATATGTGCATTGTCTATGTGCAAGATACACATTGTATACCATATAATTATTACAGCTTATGATTGCCATGAAAGGAAAAGAAAAGGTTTCTCTGCTTGGGGAAGGATGAGTGTTACATTAAGAAAGATTTTACATGTGAACCTCACCTATGTATCTAGAAACATTGTTCTTATGGTTGAAAAAGTTTGGCAGTCCTGAGATTATATTAGATGCAATGGATTTGATTAACTTGAGAAGTGATTTAATTGAGAAATTAATTTGAGAAAATGATTTAAACTTTTAAAAGTGAATATAAAAAGCCCGACAGTTCTAAGAAATCTTAAAATGTGTGAATAGTAATAGAATGGTTTACTCTAAACTTCTAAAAGATAATGACCCTGTCATTAAAATCATTTGAAGTGTTACTACAACATAGAAAAACATTAAAATATTTCTCTGTGCGGATTGTATCAGATGTGTGACTATGTGGCAATGTATTAAAATATGAAATGTGTATCTTTGTTACTTAAAAGCAATTGTAGGTTTTGAATGGCAAAACAATAAGGAAGTGAGACTTTAAATTGAGAATGGTACAAGATTTAATGAAATTACATCATATTGAATAATTGCATATATTCATGTTATTCAAACACCATAAATTTTAGTTACATGTGACTGTTAATACCACCCACTAAACAAACAGGAGTATTGCCATAATCTTTTAAATGATTTATCCTTTGAGGGTATACTGTTTTAGACACTTCTTAAAATTCACCCCTATCTGAAACATCAACATAAATATCCAAGTACCAGTATATAAAGTATAGTCTATATGTTGTTGCTATTACTAGCATCTTGAGCTTTGCAACAAAAATCTTGTAAAAATACACTTATAAAGTGTATTTCCTTTGTATCAACTATGGAACATTTCTCTCCCTAAAATGCAGAATGTCTATAATGTAACACTTATCATTCAGTGAAGTTCTACTGAATTTTAAAGTTACAACAAATTTTACACTTGTTTTTTTTCCTACACATCACTCAGGCTTTTATGCACATCTCTCATTTAATAAAAATGAGTTTGACTCTGGTTTTTTTTCTTTTCTTCTTTCTTTTTTTAACTTTTTATTTTTTTTTTTACTCTGGTTTTTTTCTTGCACTTCATTGATTTACCAAGCACAAGTTTGTGGGGAAAAATTCTTAAAAACTATCCTTGTTATTGATAAGTGAACATGTTTCATGGTAACACACACACACATATATAACACACTATGTTAATACACACAGAACCTATATATTCATAATGCTGGAATATCTGGATAGAAACATTTTTAAAATACTTAAGGGTGGTATCTAGGTGTATCAGTTTTATAAATTTCACCTGGAAGTTAACTATTACCTAGAACTAGTAGGAAACAGAAATGTAGAAAACATTAATATATAAAAGTTATTCTCTCACCTAAAAATAATTCATAACGAGATACAGATTTTACTTATTTTCAGTATTTTTTATATATAGGTGAGGGCACAGATTATATATCTATATATATAAAATCATCAGTTGCTTAAAAGCATGACTTTTCTATTGATATTTTTCAATTATAAATATTATATATGCATACACACATATATAAAATAATCTGTTGCGTAAAAGCAATTTATTGGTGGTGTTCAATAACAAACAAGGGGAAAATATCTTCTTGAGATAGAATGATAGTTTCAAGAGGCCATTAATTCAACCATGGAAAATGGCTTTGGCAATTATGCCAAAGGGCATGAGGTGTACTATATAAGGAAAACAAGATTCAATTGTAAAGGCTGAAGGGAATATTAAGGATATGGCCTCAACAGTTTAAAAGGCAGTATGCTAAGTACCTCAATGCTGTTCTTGATGTATACAGTTTCAAGTGGAATTAATAAAGGAAAACAGTTCACAGCTGGAACTTATTATGTAATAAACATGAATACGGTGTTCAGATTTGCAGTGTTCAGATTTAAATAATGTTCTGCGTTGATTTCTGTAAAAATTTCATAAACACAATTAATTTTAATTTCCAGATTGAAAGAAACAATAAGTTGTTTTATTTTGAATTAACCACCTTTCCAAAACTGTAAGTTGCGGACAACCAACCAATCAGTAATAGAATATTTGGCAATTTGTATTTGACCTCACCAGTTTACAATTTACTTTTTCATTCTCCTTTCATTAGTTGGTAAAGAATAGTAGGCTAAGGGAAGGTATTTTATCAACAAAGAATGACCTAGCAATCAGCTAATTGTAAGAAATTAAGACCTCCTTTCTTCCGTAGAGATGGAAAGGATGTCTCTTTTTAAAAATTTTTGCCTGTAAAATAATCAAAAGTCAACTAAAACCAATATTTCGGTTGTATTTAAATACATATAGAACCTAATTTTATTTATTTTCTTTTACTTACAGAATTCGCTTTTAATTTTATGGCATAAATTATACGATGGAGGACATTTATGCTTGCCATCCAACTGAAGATTATCACTTTTATTTTCCTCTTCAGCTTCTTAGCTAAACACCTTCATTGTCTTGATCTCTTTTAGTTCTTATTTTCTTTCTTTGTATGTTGTTACCTTGCTTTGAATTGTAGTAGTTTTCCCTAAAACACATCCCATCTGTCTCCAACTTGTTCTTTTCTGTGCTTTAATTAATCACTCTGGTTATGGCTTGGTGTTTTGAACAAAGTTTCTTCTTTTGGTAAACATTATTTTCCAAAGTGTGCTTTGTTTTCTGTTTGCATCTGCTTGTGTTGGTTTCCAGTTTTGAGCCAGGTGGTTTTTCCTTTTTATCCACTCAGGGACTGTAAACATATTTCTCGTTCTTAACTATAGAGATTTTCTATCTGAGCGAATGATCACTGAGCAAATGATCGTATCTTTGCAGCTCTCTAGCTAGAATTTTCATTTTTCTAGATCGCAAACAATACTTTTTTTTTTCAAACAATAATTCTTGATTTGCCTTTTTATTTTTTTATTTCTTCACTTGAAATTCCTGGAGGGATTGTTAGCACTTTTCTCCCTACCTTTCCCTAAAAATGTGCTCTCTGCTGTATTTATAAGGGCAAAGAATTAGACCCTTGCAACTTAGTAGTGACAGAGACCTTATTTTGTCTTACAAACCTCAAGTATATTATTTTTCCATTGACTGCTGATTTTTAAGCTTCTAGATTTTTCTCACAGGCATCTTTGTAGTTTCCTCTGTGTCATTTTATCTGAGGAATGGTTAACTGTTCTCCTCTTATTCCTGCTCATAGACGTTCTATTTGTTATACTAGATAGGTGATCATATTCTTCTATCTTTATAGACAAGACCTTATTTGAGCCTCTAGACACCTCAAGTATAGCTTGATTTTCTACTGATCACTGTATCTTTGACATTCTTATGAATTTTTGCATGGGCTCCTCCTCAACTCCTGTGTATTGTACCACTGTTTTACTGGGTACACTAGATGGCACCTCTAACTTTATGTTTCTTTTATTCTTGCTTCTAGATGAACTTGAAGAATTCCGTAGTGTATTGTTTAAAATTTTATCTGAGGACTGTGAGTAGTTTTATCTTCTGCCTCTTTGTTGGCTACATTTATTTCATCACAGAAAGGATTGGAATCCTCCAGATTTATACCTCTTTTATTTTGGTTGGTGGGAGTTTTGTCTTCTGTATTGACACAAGATTTTACCAGATAAAAATTAATTTTTATTGTTTTCCTGGGTCTTAAAAATATCTTTTCTTCATTTGTAGGTTTAGCTTTTTTTCTTCCAAACTCTTCATTGGCTGTCCCATTTCTCCATGTGCATAACCCCTGCTGAACTTGCCGAGTGATCGGATCCCTATAGATCTATACCAGTTTACCTCTTCCTCTAATGTCACAGTCTCTCTCTTTTTCCATTGTCCATCTTCTGAGTTTTTCTCTTGGAAGCTCTTCACAGTAATCTTTTCATTTTTTCTTTATTTGAGATTTTTCTGTTGATAGAAGCAATGAGACTCCTGAGTCCTAGATTAGTTTGGTATTTGTGTCTGTGATATAGGGACAGTGCTGACTCAGCTCTGCTTGCAAATCAAGCTCATATTTCTTTACATTCATTTCTGCACATTATCTGTTGGACTAGGGAAATGTTTAGATTCTTGAAACTCTTGTATTTTTTAGAGTAGATCTTGTTCTTTGACTACCTCTATTTTGCATGTTCTTAGGCCACACCTCTTCAGGTTCAGAGGCATTAATTTTGGATTCATATTCACAAGGACTACAAGAGTTTTCTTGACTGAAATCTCCTGGCCTATCCTTATTTTTGTTCACTGAGTCAGACATTTCTTCAAATCCACTCTAGTCAACTTCCAAATATCATGTCTTTTGTTTGAAGTCTTCAAATGAATTTTTCTTTTTTCCTGATGGTTTCAACAAAGTACTGATAACTGCTGATTCTGGGTTTTCTTTTGGTGTTTTAAAAAAAATTGGGGGGCAGCCCAGGTAGCTCAGCGGTTTAGTGCAGCCTTCAGCCCAGGGTGTGATCCTAGATACCCGGGATCAAGTCCCATGTCAGGCTCCCTGCATGGAGCCTGCTTCTCCCTCTGCCTGTGTCTCTGCCCCTCTTTCTCTCTCTGTGTGTGTTTCTCATGAATGAATAAATAAAATCTTTTTAAAAAATAAAAAAGATTAAAAAATAAAAAAATTTTTTTTGCAAGGTCGTCTACATTTTCTTTTGATTGAAAAATATGTACATTCTGTATATTCTATTTTTTTCTATTACTTGGTTTTCTGAGTAGTATTTTTCACATATTTTATTATAAATATTTTAGGTTTTTCTTGTAATTTCTCTGGTTCTGTTGGTGTTTGCAGGGATTCTTTGATACCTGCCAGGTCTTCCAAGGGCTCTGGTTTTACTTTAGGTGTTTTCAGCAGCCTCCTGATGATGCCTGTTAGAATTTCTACTGGTTCTGGATTCTGCTTTCAAGTGTTCCTAAGCTTTTTGTGAACATTATCATCATTTGTTTGTTCCTCTGGATTTACAGGAGCTCTCTGATGGCTGCCAGGTCCTCCATGGGTTCTGGTTTTATTTTACGTGGCTCTCAGCATTCCTGTGAGAATTCTTAATTTTTACTGAGTCTGGCTTGTGTTTTGGCATACTCCTGAAACTTAATCCCATTTATTTGTTCCTGTTTCTTTTAGTGGGAGCTCTCTGATACCAGACAAGTCTTCCACAGGTTCTGCCTTTTTCTTAGGTTTTTTTCAGCAGTTCCTTGAGTCTGAAAGTTTCTACAGGTTCTGGATTCTGTTTGGGGGTGCTCCTAAGCTTTTTTGTGGGATACCTCAATTTATTTTAGTCTTTTTAAAATTAATAATTTTGTAAGTTAATTCTTGAAACTTGTAGTACTGTGTGTGAGTTCTGGCAATTCGTTTTATACCTTAAATATAATTTCTAGTTCTGATTTAAAATTTGGCAACAATTTCCATTGTAGCCGTCTTTCCAAAGAGTAAAATATAAATGTGCACAATTTTAGACGTAAGCTTGGCAGTTGCTGTGGAAGGTGGCACTCTTTACTTGCTACCATGATAATTATAACAATGATAACTATAATTCCTTGAATGCTTGCATATGCCTGGCACTGAACTAGGCATCTTACATTTAAAATTCATAACAGGAGGAGCTAAGGATTATTTTTTTAAAAGATTTTCTTTATTTGTTTGAGAGAGTGCAAGAGCAAGCAGAGGGAGGAGCAAAGGGAGAGGGAGAAAATGAATCCTAAGCAGGTTCTGCAAAGTGTGGAGCCTGACCTTGAGTTTGATATTAAGACCCTGAGATCATGACCTGAGCCAAAATCAAGAGTCAGATGCCCAACCAACTGAGCCACCCAGGTGCCCCAAAAGGAACTAAGGATTATTAACCCCATTTTAAGATGAGAAAAAGTGCAGACAGGGAGGCTGAGTAGTGTGCCCAAAGTCACATGGGTGATAAGTAGAAGAGAAAGCAGATCCAGCTTGTTTGACTCCAGAGCTGGTACCCTTAACCACTAAACTTTCAACATGCAACAGATTTAACCTCACAGAATATCTTATCATTGGAGCTGTGGATGTAGCTCCATAGCATCACATTAGAATCACTTTTTTTTTCACAAGAAAAAATAAGGTAGCTATTATTTGTTACTTGCTGTTTATTATTTTTTTATAGATTTTATTTATTTATTCATGAGATACACAGAGAGAGAGAGAGGCAGAGACACAGGCAGAGGGAGAAGCAGGCTCCATGCAGGGAGCCTGACATGGGACTTGCTCGCAGGTCTCCAGGATCAGGCCCTGGACTGAAGGTGGTGCTAAACTACTGAGCCACCCGGGCTGCCCGTTACTTGCTGTTTAAAGGAACTATTATTAAAAATATAATAGAATTTGGCCAGAAGTCTTTAATGACTCAAAAACTATTTGTGGAAATGCAGAATTTTTTTTTTATAAAACCTGAAATGGTTAACAAAAACAACACAAATATTGTTTTGTTGTTGTTGTTGTTGTTTTGCATTTCATTCAGCCAATTCTTTCAACACCAATTGTGTCTCCTTCCTGGGTCTGACTTCATTAACTTTAAAAATTGAAAAATATTGCTTTAAAACAGCTGGTAAATTTTGTCCAACATCTTAAAAAACAATGGTTTTTGTATACTCAGTATAGAGACCAAGAACTGTAGTGTCTAACACTATCACTAAATCCTCAGTGGCAGCTAATATAGAAATAGGGACAAAATAGCTTCCTAAATTAAGATTCTATTTATATTCTTTTGGTAGAATTGAGTGTTTATTAAAACTTTATATAGAATAACATAATGATTTAGAGTTAGACTGCCCAAGTGAATCTCTAGATTTACTAGTTAAGACCTTAAGCAAGTTGTTTAACTTCTCTAAGGCTATTTTCTCTTTTGCAAAGTGGGGAGAGTATGTACTTCAGCTGGGCATAATATTAAGGTATGAATAGGAAGCACTTCACATTGTGGCTGGGACATAAAAATGTATCTCAAGTGCCAGTGTACATACATTGGTCAACACTGGATTCTTGGTATGAAATTCAGATAAATTTGTGGAAATTCAAAAACTTTACCAGCTAATCATGGACATTAATGATTCAAATTAAGAGTAGAAACACTTTTATAAAAAACAAAAAAATCATCAGCTGGTTTCAATTGAGGTGATACATTCCAGGTTAAAACTGGGGTAGGAAAGGAAAACTTGAATTTGGACAAACAAGGAGAGTATAAGAGCGGCAGACTAAATAGAATGGGAAGGGTTGAGAGTGTGGATATCTTGATGTCAAGGAGCAAGTGGAGTGGGAGACAGGTAAGAAGTGATAGAAAGCTAGGCCAGTAAAGTAGGAGATTGGAATCCTGGATCTTGAGAAGCTGTGGGTGAGGACAAAGTGGAAGCAGTGGTCTTGGAAGTGGGTCCTGGAGAGTGGACATGAGGGTTTTAGGAGTAGAGGAGGGTACGGATTTCTGGGGGAATAAAAGGACAGGTAGAGAAAAGCAAGTCAATGAGAGCAAACACAGCCCAATGGACATTGAAACCGACCTCAGGTATATAGTAGAACTGAGTCTGATATAAAAGTGTTTATATAGACATTCCTCATTTTTAACCTGAAGAAGAGAAAGCCAAGGAATATAACTGTCATGAAATACTTAAAAGGCAAGTTAATAGGAGTTAATCGTTTTTTTTTTTAAAACAGGGCTCCAGAAGGTAGAACCTAAAGGTTAAAAAAAAAAAATCAAACTATGAATACATTGATTTTCCCATCATCTATCTACTCATTCATGTACTATTCATTGAGCCACCCACCAAAAAAAACAGATTTTGGGTCATTTGTCAAAAAGGACACACACAAAACAAGATCCTCCAAAAATAAATGAAGGAACCAAGGCAAAGCTGCAAAAAAATGAGGTCATACCTTGGTTCTGAGCTTTATGGCAGGAAATACAAAGAAGAGTTCAATTAAAGGATGTGGTGTTTATAAGTAAAAACCAGGCCAGGTGCTTGAGAGAAACACAGATCTTCCTGGTACTGAAATTTGGAAGAAGTTTCTCCTGGAAGAAACTTCTATAGAAAGAAAACACTATAGGGGCACCTGGTTGCTCAGTCAGAATATGGGACTTGATGTGGGGGGTCATAAGTTCACAGTGGGTGTAGAGCTTAGTTAATAAAAAAAAGACACTAATGTCAAGAATAAAATATTCAACCATTTTTACACTAAATATGTTCCATAGGGTTTATAAACATTAGATCCTCAGTATAGGTATAATATTATAGCTCAGTACAATTTTTCAAGGAGTCTAAATAATGCAGTACAGTAACTCTTAACTCCTAATCCTTTGGTCCAATCCCAAAATAGGTTATATTCTAGAGGAATGGATGACTATATAACTTTCAAATATTTCACCATAAATGTTATTTCCCTAAAGTGTTTTTTTAAAAAGATTTTATTTATTTATTCATGAGACACACACACACAGAGAAGCAGAGACATAGGCAGAGGAAGAAGCAGGCTCCAAACAGGGAGCCCAATGTGGGACTCGATCCTGGGACTCCAGGATCATGCCCTGAGCTGAAGGCAGGAGCTCAACCACTGAGCTATCTGGTGTCCCTCCCTAAAGTGTTTTAAAATCCATTTTGTTGTTTTTTTTTTTAATGACAAAAATGATATTTAGACATACACATTGACCCTACAGACTCCACCAAAAAAACTGTTGGAACTGATAAATTCAGTAAAGTTGCAAGGCAGAAGATCAATATATAAAAATTATATGCACTAATAACAAACTATCAGAGAAATTAACAGTCTCATAATTGAATCAAAAGAATAAAATAGAAATAAATTTAACCATAGAAGTGAAATATCTATACACTGAAAACTGTAAGACATTGATGGAAGAAATTGAAAAAGACACAAATAAATGAAATGATAGTCTGTGCTCATAGATTGGAAGAATTAATATTATTAAAATGTTAATTTTACCAAAGCAATGATTCAATGAAATTCCTATGAAATTCTAATGTCATTTTCACAGAAATAGGACAAAAAAAAAATCCTAAAATTTTTATGGAATCACAGAAGACCTACATAGCAAAAACAGTCTTAAGAAAGAAGAACAGGGATGCCTGTGTGGCTTAGTGGTTGAGCATCTGCCTTTGGCTCAGGGCGTGATCCTGGGGTCCTGGGATCGAGTCCCGTATCGGGCTCTCTATAGGGAGCCTGCTTCTCCCTCTGCCTGTGTCTCTGCCTCTCTCTCTCTCTTTGTGTCTCTCATGAATAAATAAATAAAATCTTAAAAAAAGAAAAGAAAAGAGAACAAAGCTGGAGGTATCCCACTTCCTGATTTCAAACTATATTATAATAATCAAAACAGCATGGTATTGGCATAAAAACAGACACATAGATCAATGCAACAAAATAGCCCAGAATAAAACCATTAATTTATGATAAAGGAGCCAAAAATGTGCAATGGAGAAGGGCAGTCCCTTCAATAAAGGGTGTTGGGAAAACTAGACA